GATATATATTAGATTTCATTGTATAATAATTAAAAATAATGTATAATAATTAATTAATTGTATAATAATTAAAAATACTACTTGAATTATATTCTTTATTAGTTTGGGATTTAACTTGGCGCCAATTATTGATATCAAATCTTTTATAAGAATAATACATATTATTAGGGTTAGTATTATTTATTTAATTTGATATGGGATTTAATTTGGCGCCAACTGTTGATTTTAAATCTTTTTTACAAATGATACACAAAATTTTATGGAATTTATCCTTGGCGCCAGTTGTTGATAACAAATCTTTTATACACTGAGAAAAAAATATCCTAAATTTCAATAAATATTTATTTGAATAGTACCAACCAAATATTTATTAAATATAAAAATATATATCCTCGTGGCCGAAGTAATATTTTTCGCAATAAGAATTAATTATTTGCATTTTAATATGTCACTCAGCATTATTAAGATCGTACGAAGGTGCGAAAAAGCATCAAATTTTTAAATTGCTAGTCAATTTAACTCGTAATATTACTGCGGTAGTTTAATAGAGTTAGTATTTCAAGACAGAAAAATCGGCGCGCTTTTCAAAAAACTATATATAGTACATAATTTCACACAGAATTATACAAGCATTTAAGATCCAGCTAGATTGTTTAAAGCATTAATTTCTATAATTTGTGTTAAAAATATATTTATTTGATACAAAAAACATTAATTTGATTTAACAATCATTTCTTTTTATTAAGTAAATATTTATTTATTGTAATTAAATGATGTTTAGTTGGCAGTATTCAATATTTATTTAAATTCAATATTTATTTAAATTTAGACTATTTTTTTTCATTGTATGAATGATACATATCATTTAAATTAATATTATTTATTTAATTTTATATCATTTATTTAATTGCTATGGAGTTCAACTTGATGCCAAATGTTGACATCAAATTTTTTATATGAATAATACGTAAAATTTTATGGAATTTAATTTATGGCCAATTGATATTAAATTTTTTATACAAATGATATACATATAATTACAGTTAAGTAAATAACAAAGATAGTACCACTTGAGTTTTACTTTTTAATTTGATAGAATTTAATTTGGTACGTAACGTGTCATTTACGTTCTATTCGATGGCATGTATTTTTTTTATGTTTTTTTTAAAAAGATAATCTTTTATACGCGTAATACATAAAATTTTGTGGAAACTTTAACTTGACAACAGTTGTTATAATGTCACATTTTTTTATACGAATGAGATACACATCATTAGAATTAGTAATAAAGCTATTACCATTTAGATTTTACTTTTAAACACTTGGATTGGAATAATGAAAAGATATGTATTATAAATAATTTTTATTTGAAATATTTGAAACCGTTTACATAAATAAATCAATTAAATACGAGAGTGTCAATTACTGCTAAAGTTAAATATTTAAGGCAATTATTATTTTTATATATACATTTATTTCAGAACCTTGATTATACGCCGATTATGTTCAAATGTTGCAATAATTTGAAATGCTAATAATTCTCTCCAAATTAAATTAAAATTTATAAAGAATTTACTGAAAAGTATTTTTATCTGTGAGAATGCTAATCTTTGAAGATGCTAACATAATATAAAATCCGAATTTGATTCTCGATATAGATAATATTTTTTGTAATAAATTTTTTACAATTTTTAGTTTAATTTTGGGGAATTATTAATATCTCAGATTAATTGAATTACAAGTTCAAAAATAATTGGCGTGCAATCATAGTTCTGAGATAATGATATTTAAAATACATATTGATATATTACTGTAAACATTTAACTTTGATTGTAATTGGCAGTCTTATAATTTAATTGATGTATTAAACAATCATATTGTATCAATCTAATATAACTTACATATTTAGTAATAAACGCGATGTAATTACGTTATTAAAGTAGCGCATTCCTTTGATTTGAGTCGAAATGCCGACAATCTTCCTATGGTTTTCAGTCTCCATTTCGATTTAAAAAGTCATCTGTAGTCCAATAAGCGCTTAGTATTATTAGTATAAGGTGTAGGATATAGTTAATAGATCCAAAATGGAAGACTTATGCGCTTTGATATATAAAGCTTTATTACCGTACAGATCGCAACGCTCACTAATTATGTATTATTTTTATTCGAAAACGCATCAATTAAAAATATTTTTATCAATAATTTATGAAATAACTAGAATATTATAGGTGTCCCAAAATAATCGCCAAATATTTCATGGGGTAGAATTGACTAAACTGAGTCGAAAAATCCTCTAACACTTTGCAATTTTCGCAATAGTAAACAAGATATTATTTATTAAAAATTAGTCGAAAATTAGTCTTCAATAATTTTTTAATCAAATACTATCAATATTTTACAGAAAAACTGCAAGAGACAAAAATTATTTATTTTCTTCTTATAGAACTCTATATTTGTATTTTCTCATGTTGGTAAAAAATACAATACTAAAAAGTTGATAAAAATTCTGAAAAAATTCTTAGAGCTCTATGAGAAGAAAATAAATAATTTTTGTTTTTCTGTAAAGTTGATGATAAAAAATTATTTGATGACCAATTTCTGCTCGTAGGACACGTAGAAAAAAAATAAAAGCACGTATGATACAACCGTAGTATATAATTGGAGTACATAATCATAAAGTGGTATATATGACAAAATTGGAAGGTAATTATTACACTTAAAAAAAAAAATTTTCGATAATTAATTAAATTATCATTCAGCGTTTGAAAATGATTTCGATTGTATGTAAAAATATTACAGCGTTCTACGATATGTTAAAAATAATAAAATGTAATGATTCTATCATATAATCTCAGAATTATCTATTGGCAAATGCATTCAATCGATAAGTAATTAATTATCGAATTAATTACCGCACGCAGTAGCTTTCGAGCGACGTCTCTTACAACTAAATGTTAAATTAATTAATGCAGCCGTTACATTTGCATTTAAATTAATATTTAACATATTCTAAAAATCAGTTATTTAAGCTAACATTAGCATAATGATTTCTGATGCTATGAATAATAATAGCGTTTTGAGTTTAAGTGGGAATCATAAAAATTATTTGCGATAATCGATATTGTGCAATACTTACGGAAAATGTGGAACCTTCGGGAAAAACAACGTAACGTCGTTTCCTCGAAAGATTCGTCCGGTATTTATCGTCCGCTTCGTACTCGGATAATACCAGGCAGAGAACTAAAAATATCAGGTACTTGGCATTGTAATCCATTGCTATTCTGTAAAAAGCATATCGTGCATGTTGAATCAGCAATCTAACAAGAAAGGCCGACGCATTTTTATGAAATTTTATATTTGAGAAATATAATGTTCCTACATATAAATTATGTAGCCATTACTACGTAATATCTCGTTTCTTATTAAAAGCAGAAGTTCTTTTGAGACGGGTGCGTTACATAGATTGACGCGGCTGAAGCTCATCTGTCACTTTTTTAAATGATATCTCATTAATCCAGATTTAAGAATCCGCAGAAACTGAACCGCTAATTTCGTCGCGTCAGAAAGGCGCCTTGAAGCGAAAGGAAATTATTCCCATTGTCCTCGTAGGACGTAAGATGGAAAAAGAGAACGCGAGAGACGGACAGTGGATCGACAGAATGAAGGCGGGCGGCGGGGACGAAACTTCTTCCAGCGCGAACTTGTAAAGGAATTACCCAACTTTCCAGAGAGCAAATCTCGGTATAATCCGTTGAGAAATTGTTCGACGACTTTCCTGAAATAAAAGCAGCCCATGAACGACGCCGGTAATACCGTCTTTTTGCCCGCGATCGCGAGGAGCGAACTGCCGTAAACCACCGGATTCGTGATTCGGACTGGTGACTCCGGGCTGGGCGTTAGCGATCGGCGGGAGGATTAGACCGGAAGTTGGAATTGTACGAGGAAATAATCTTGGGATAAATAATCCGGTCGGCTACGCTCCAATGGCTGGATTTATCGTGAGCTCGCAGGTATTTAAGAGTCGACTTGGAACTTTAATTCGATGTTTCGCGTCGCCTGATCTCGGAATCAAACCTCAGATCTACTATGATATAATACTATGATATATGTGCAAAATCATTTCTCTAGTTAATCATTTCTCATTAAGTGAGAGAGATTTAAATTGGTATTAACATATGAATGATAGAAAATTGCGAGAACGCATGTTAGAAAAATTAATTCTAAATTTAGTTAAATTTTATAAGGATATTTTATAAGGATACTTTAAAAATTCTATTGAATGTTCTATATTTCCTTTTCATTTATGTTTTCCTATGCTTCTAACATAAGATTTTTTTTCTCTATATGATTATAAAAAAAAATTAAAATAAACTCTCCTCCGGCAATGTCAGACTTTACAGATACAGTCGATTTTTTTGTTTGTGAATTTTGATAAATAAATTTAAATTTGTAAAAAATAAATAAAATACGATCCAACTCTTATAATAGTTAAAAACTCGTTATTAAAATATACAAAAATTTTGCAGATCTTTATTAGTCCCGAATTAATAATATAAAAATTTGCATTGAAAATTGAAGACTCAAATTGCAGACGAAAGGTGGAAATTTCACATAGTCGACGGAGAATTAAAGTAACGCAATTTTTTCTTCGGTAAAGAAAATAAACGTTGGGCATTGTAAATAACAAATGTGTTTTAGAAGTGGTGGTCAGAGAACATTTAAAAAATTTAGACTATAAAAAGGGTTAAGGAATTTACGGTTTGAGAAAGCATGCGTTTTATCGTGGATGCAAAATTAATTTTTCGTTCCACGATAGGGTTATATAGCAATCGCTATTCTTTTTCAACGTTAACCTGGAAAACTTCCGAATTGCTAGCATTAATTTTCCTTCCTGGCAAGGGAATACATGTGCACGCCGCGAGAACGTTACACGGTGCATGGTACACTGTAGGGAGGAGAATTGTACATTCTCACGTGATTATACATCGATCACCGTCCTTGCGTTTCCGGCCACGAATCTCGTGGATCCTGCAGGAGGTTGCCCGCTCTCTTCCTGTCAAGGAATTTTGCTCATCCGCGTCGCGACAGGCAGGATATTGTCACATTCCTTTCCATGACCTCTCTTATCTTGTGTTGAAACTTCAAAGTTTCGAAACTAGACCGAGGAATCAAACGTGATGAGAATGAAAATAAGGATTTTTTTGCGGTTGTGTACGTTTCAACGTGATCTTCCTCTCGCGATTTAGAAAACGACATGCAACATTCTCACCAAGGTAATTCTCAGTGCATGGCTTTACGTACATACATCGCGTTAATTTCCTGCCGTATTGTACGCAATGTACATCGTTTGTTCTGTCAGTGAATATTACTGTTCTCGACGTCAGATATTCCCGCCAATATAGATCTTATTACCTCGGCGCAGGTACATAATCACGCCAAAACATTGCTCGCTCAAATTGCAGACCACCTTCAGCAGCCAATTAATTGCAACGGCGCGGGATTATTAATATGCCATGGTCTTCAGCGTAGGATGCTGGAAAATTTGTTATGCTGGAGAATCGATGCGTAGCGAAACTGTTTATGAACAATATATCCGAGACGTAAGTTCATTAACGTCATTTTGTCGATAACTTACTCGTAATACGATGTGTATGATGCAGAATTTACATAAAATGTTACTTTATTACACTGAATGATTTTGTTGACTTATTTAAAAATTAAGATATTATAGGTACAAATCTGAAAATAATTTTGTTAGATGTTGATCATCAAAATAATTATGTAGGATGTTCAAACTGACTGTTAAAATATCAAAACTTTTTACAACATTGTTCATTCTTGTTTGAGATTTTTACATAAATATTTTGATGGTCCAACCAAATTACTTTCAAAGTATCTAGTTAAAATTTTAAATATTCTAACAAAATTTTTTTTTCCATGTAAACACGGTTGCACGAAATTCAACGTTTCAAGATACGTTGTTAACAATTTTTAAAAATAAAGACAGAATGATCGACTTTTCGCGAATTTGTGTAAGAATGGTCGATCTTGCTATTTATATAATTTAGCGAGCGAGTTATCAAAGGATATGAAGAAATGCAGTCTATTTTTGCGGATTGAGATCCGTCAATTTTTCGCCAATACAATAATACATCTACCCCGTATCCGATGAAAACCAATAATCGATCGGTCTGCATTCGTCAGTATCGTCCAAATCTCGCCAACCCCGTTCACCATATCCCATAAAACAAGTCTGATTAGATGTAGGGGTTGTTCGATTTGAGCTCGAAATTCGATTACTTCTATTCTGATCAACGAGAAATGTCGTTCGCTAGTGCTCCATCCTTGATCTCATTTCAAATTTATTGCAGGCAACGCATAAATGGAGGATAACTATTAGGAAACGTCGTATAAGTTAATTCGGATCAATGCGTATTCCTTAAATTATCTCTGTACGAATCATCTAACATGAGATTTAAAAGAGCGATAATAAAATTCAAAATGTACGTTTACAAAAATGAGATGGATCCATGTTTTAGTATATCACAGAAACTGCAATTATCATATTATATAATGAATTAAGAGACTCAATATAATATTTGCATAAGTGATAATTACGTTGCGCTGAAATCTACATAGAGCGATTAAATTGAAACATAATCCTTGCGCTTATAATATGTAATATATAGATCAAGCATCATTATCTTCTATGGATATTTAATAAGTGGATAATCAGTTTGAATAAATCCTTATTTTATTCGTACCAATAAACATTTAAAGCTAAAGATATATATATACAATATGTACATACAACAGTAAAACATATTTATTTGTATTGGAAACGGCCGATTCAAATTCTTGTAAACTTTTGTGTTGATTTTTTTTATTATATTTATCAAGTATTAATTTAGTATTTATATTTATCAAGTAATAATGTGTTTATGTTATTTAAATAGTTTGCATTAAATTGATATTTAACACGCCTTAGTATTAAAATAATAATTTGTGAGTAAATGAACAAATAACATAAAAATAACGTATTTTAAAATGTAAATTCTAAAACGAATAAATAAAATATGTGTTAATTTAACATATCATAATGTTAATTTTACTGCAAAAATATGCTTCCACAATTTGTTTACAAACTGAATCAATATTATCTTTTTAAATTATCTTTATGTTATCTTCTAATGTATTCATCTTGTGTTAAATTAAGAAGCTTTTTTCGATTTCTAGATATATCTCTATATCTCTATATTATAAACAATATAAATGATAAAAAATCAATCAATTACAATTGAATGTGAGAAGAATAATCGATTGATTAATTTAGATTTAAAGATTAGGTAATAGCTTCTTATTGTAGAAAGCCTATTACATATAAGTTTGAGTGAACTGTTTAGAATGCGTGAAATGTTAAATTTAACACAAATTTCCAAATGATGTGTGTATATATATATATATATATATATATATATATTTATATACAGTAAGAGCAAAAAGTATTCGTACAAGGAAATTTGTTATAAAAAAAATCTTATTTGTAGAAAATAAACATTAATTAGCAATTTTATATACAATGAATACATTCTGTTCTTAACATAAACAAACGATCCTCGCATGAATTTCTGATTTTAGAAGCTAAATTTTTTGTCTGTACTTTTTGAGCATTCAAACACATAATTTTTAATTTTCGCTTATTTTTTAGATGATTTAGATGATTTTAGATGATATTTTATATAATTAATATACATCTTTTTGATATATGTAATTTTAAGAAACATACAGTCTATTTTATTCTTTATGAATAAATTGTTAATTATCCAACAAGAAATGATTGTTAATTAAACATCAAATCAACATCAAACTCATGTTGAAATTATCGTATTTAATGTATTGATTCATCAATTCAATGATTCATTTCTCGCTGGATAATATTTACTTTTTAAAAATAAAGTTTTTTAAAAAATATTTTTTCTGTACGAATGCTTTTTGCACTCATTGTATATGTATGTTATATAGTGAGTGCAAAAAATATT